ATGCACGGCAAACAAAGAGGAATTTCTGTACAAGCGGTCCTATGTACCATTAATTTGAGAGTTTTAACTATCTGCTCTCTGAGGTCGTCCCTCCCCTGTGGCCGGTCGCCAGCCGTCGACATGGCCGGCCACAGGCCGAAAATAAAGAAAAAAAAAGAAAGAAAAGAAATAGAGAAAAAATATAAAAATAAGTATAATTTCGATTTTTTAAAAAAAAATACATTTTTATAAAGAGGGAGAGAGTGTGTGTGGGCACAATGGGTGGGTTGAAAACAGGGGTGTAAAAAAAACCAGAGCCGACCTGGCCCGACCTGACCGGGCCCGGCCCGACCTGGCCCGGCCCTACCCGAAATTTTAGGGTATTTTGGGGTCAGGTCTTATTTTATCTGGGTATGAATTTTAGATGTGGGTATTTATTAGGAACGGGCCAGGCCAGGCCGGGCTGGGCTTTTTTTACCTGGCACCAAATATAACCCTTCCCCCTCTCTCTCCCCTTCGCTTCTTCTCTCTCTGGCGGCCGTGAACTTCTCTCTCCCCCCTTTCGCTCTCTCTGCTCCTCCTCGCCCTCGAGTTCGAGTTCGTGGCAATGGCAGCCGTGAAGTTTGCGAACATGGCCATGGTGGCTTTCGTCCTCGCCCTCATGGCGCTTGCTGTGATAGCCCAGGTCGAGGCCCCGGTGCCGCAACCTTCTTCTCTTCGCCTCCTTCCTTGGGACTCTCCATCCAGTTCAGCCTCGACCGCAGCAAGAGATCGGAGGACGACCTGATCTTCCTCGCCTCCCACACTACTGTCGGGATAGCAAAGTCATCGATCCCGAAGAGCCCCAGGTTCCGGCATACCCGATTGATCTCGCCCTCGCCCCCCTCGACCCGGAATCTCGTCGGCTCGAATAAGTCCAGCGACCTTGTGTGGAGCGAGGCCAAGGTGGAGGACGAGGAGTCGTTGGGCGAGTGCGACAGCGAGGACGCGTCGTAGTCGTAGTGCTTCGCCGCGTTCCGGCGCTCGAGCCGCCTCTTCGTCGACCCCCAATTCGTCCCTGACCCATCGGCTTCGCTCTAGAGAAGAATCAAGGCATGTGGCAATTGCATAAGGCTTAAGGTTTTGGGACCCTAAACCCGACCCCGGACCGACCCGACCTGACCCTATTCTTGGAGTATATGCTAAACAGGGTCTTGGGTTGGGTCGGGTCGGGTCGAGCGTGACCCTGTATATTTCGGGTCGGGTCGGGTATCATGAAAGCCCGACCCGGCCCGACCCAACCCGACCCATTGACACCCCTAGTTGAAAATGGGTTATAAACTCAACCCATTTAGATCCATTTATTTTAAGCTTTAAAATTTAAAACCCATTTAAGGTGGGCTATTTAAAATCGAAGTAATCCATCTATGAATCTATATTTTTTAAATGGGTCATATATGGGTTTAAGACCCATCTTGACAGGTCTAGCGAGCGGCTAGGCACATGATTAGGTCTACTAATAGTGTACGGGACTCTGCCTAAATCAACCATCATATCCAATTCTACGAGCCATTAAATCAAAAACCTACTAATAGGTACTCATTTTATATTGTAAGATGTTTCACAAAAGTTATTGACATATGTCGATGAAGTCAAAAATGTCTTAAACTGTTAAATATTCCGATAGTTAAATCTTTCACGACATTTTACAAAAGTTTACGATGTTTAGTCTAACACACTTCATAACACCATAAATATTTTGATATTTTTAATTTAGCACGATTTACAAAGGCTTACAGAAATTTATCGTAGCACGGTAGTAGAAGTTCTAAGTATTTAAAATCTTAATTTTTTTATAGCATGTTTTATAAAGGCTTACAACATTTTGTCATAAAATAATCCAAAGTGTCGTAAATATATAAATATCCAATTTTTCATGAAGGCTAATAGCTTTTCGTAGTATTAGACGGCGTGGATATTTTCATACCCTAATTTCCGATATTCTATGTTTTCCATAGGTTTACAACATTCCGTAGCAACGCAGCGCAAAAAATGTCATAAATCTTTAAATGCCCCTTTGTCAATTTTCAGAAAAACTTTAGGCTTCTATCACGTTATCTCCTTTTGTCTCTTGGCTTTGGCCTATAATGATTTGGAATCTATCGTTTTTCATATCAAATACATTGAAGACTTCATCAACCTTTTTATACTAGTATCTGAAACCAATTACAGTCTTGTCACGAGCTCCAAAATTTTTTATTACTTTTTCAAGCAAGAATTTCTTGTTAAGTGTGGAGCCCTTACTATGTTGAAGATGCATCCACATGATTCAAGAAAGCACTCCATTACTTATTTTTTGTGTGGAGATACGACGTTCGGGATGATATGTACTAAATGTTATCCCTCTCTTTAATTGCATGACGAGAAAGCCCACCTTTTAAATCGATTACGGATCAATCAAATATCCTCAAAAACTGCATGCGAGGTAAGATTTGAGCCAAAACTCAAGTTCGTGAACTAAATAATGGGATTTTTTTCTTTTCCAAATTCTCATTATTTATAAAATAATTTTCCCTAAAAGATGGCACTTTCAATCTTATTCACCTGTTAAGAGCATTTTGTGGCTTCGACCAAAAAAAAAGAGCATTTTCTGCATGGATTTTCTTAGTTTTTCAATTTTTACTATCTCACAGAATTTAAAGAAAATCTAGAAACTTACCCTTTTGGATAGAGCAAAAACAAATTTCCCAGCGAAGGTTGCGTATTGGGTATGATCAAACAAAGTTTCCTAATTAATATAATTATTAATCATTAAATCATTATAGTTTACGTTTATAAAATGAATGGATATTAATAAGAGGCCATTGTCTTTGAGACTATTATCAATTATTATTATTGTTAATAACATAACAAAACTATAATTATGTTCAAACAACAGTATGGTCTATAGTTATGAATAATGAATGATTAAATATAATATTATATAATCGTTGTTATTAAATAGGATATTAAATATCTAATGTTGTATTTATCATAAAAAGTAAATTAATATATAACTAATGATATGATAATGTCATATGCATATAGATGTAATATCTAATTTAATAATACCATTAAATTCGCTTGTAGGACAACTTAAATCATGGAATTAGATTAAAATAGCATGATTTTGAGTTTTGAATTTCTTATAGATATCAGTATCAATGTGATTTCAAGATGATAATCTAATATAAAATAAGATGTAGATTTTGATCAATTTGAATTTCATAAGAATTCAAATGAACCATTATAATCTATTAAGTTTACATATTTGTACGTGTATATCATAAATCAACTAGTATTTGTTAAAGATATTTTGACGACTTAAAAACAGGCTACTTTTTTTTTTATTAAAGTATAGATAATGCGTTACAAATATATAAACAAAGAAATATTATAATTATGTCGTCTAAATGTAGCTATAATATCTTATCTTATAGCATAGTAAGAACAATTCATGCCGCATAAAACATCTTGTGTATCATATTATGAAGGATATTGTATTAATCACCATTGCTTTACTTGTAGAGTAGTTGCCTCTTTTCTTTTTTCTTGTTTTTTTTTTTCGGTCGAAAGCTAGTTGCCTCTTTTCAAATTGCGACTTTTTTGAGAATTTTATATGGCTATTGTGTTATTATGAGAAACATTATTTAAGAATGTACAATGCGCTTTTAAATTAAATAATTAATAGTTATATAATTAGGAAGCTTTATTTTATTATACACAATTTTCAACCATAGCCAAAAAAATCCTTTTTTTTTTGCAATCGAAAAAGCAAGTATTATATTTTATCTTAATAAATTGAGATATTAAAAATTGAAAGGTTAAGAAAAGACACATAAATGCTTACAAGGTACAAAGTGCATTCTTTTTTATGTCATAAGGTACAAAGTGCTTTCAATAGGTAAAAGATTGAAATTGCCCTCTTTTAAAGAAAAAAATTGTAAAGTACATGTGTAATTGCCTCCACTTAATAATGTGAGAGTCAAACATGTACCGTACTGTCGAGAAAAATAAAATGATCGACTCTTGATTATTATCAACAAGTAGTAGGATTTGTCGGTGAGAACAAAGCTGGATCAAAGCAAAGGCAATAGATGAACAAAACAATTGACAACTTGAAGGGAATCGATCGCTCGATAAAGTCATCGATAGTAGACATTATATAGAAGGTACCGATGAGGACTTCATTAGTCAACGAGGTTCATCGACAATCATCCATTGCAAATTTTGCCAAGTGTTGGAGCTCAAACACAAAGCAATAGATTTTTTAAATCTTTTTTTCTTTTTTTGTTTTCTTTCTCTTTTTTTGTTTTTCTTTCCTTCTTCTCCTGGCTAGCGAGGGTGAGGTCGAGCCTTACCATGGCTGGGCATGGCTCCTTGCCCATGATAGTGAGGGCGAGCTCGACCTCGCCGGCCCTTGCCTCGGATCAGTCGCCGGACCTCGGTTACCAGCCATAGGAAGAAGGAAATGAAAAAAAAAATAAAGAAAATAAACAAATAATAGAAAAAAATTATGAAAAATTCTCCATGTCAGTGCTGATTGTTGGCCCATGCCACATACGATGGCCGACGGCCATGTCAATGCAGGCTAGCCAAAATTAGCCGGATAGACTGAATTTGCACAAATACAAAAGGATTAGGACTTAATTGGCAAAAAAAAAAGTTTACGATTGAATTGGCATAATTGCAATATGTTTATAACGATTTTGGTAATTTTCCATGTATTTTCGGTAAAACTACCAAGCATAAAATTACCCACTATCATTTCTGGTGGAATTACTATAGTATTGAAAGAACCCCGGATACTTACTCCATTGCCATGTAAAATAAATAATTAAGAAGAAAACTTCTTTTTCTAGACACCAGATTTAAGGACTTGATTACACACTTGATTATTCCTCGCGGGTACGTAAAGCGAAAAGAGGAAAGAAGAATGATGGCGACGAATTCATCAAAGGTGGGGCGGCGTGGAAACCCGTAGAGCCTCAACAAACACTTTAATGGGGAAGCCACCGGTCCTCTTCCAATCGAAGCTGCTCTGTTTCTCCCTGCTCTACCTCTTCGCCACCCTCTTCTTGGCCCTCTACACCTCCCTCTCCCCGGCCAATTGCCTCCTCCGATCCTCCCCCTTCGACCCCCTCCAGTCCCCTCTCTTCTCTTACCCTCCTTCCTACGGGGAGCACAAGTACGCCCTCCCCACCGCTCGCCCCTCCTGCTCCTCCCCCGTCCTCTTCTCAGGTCGCCTCTTCGAAACCCCTTTTCCGGGGGTTGGCCTTTTCCCGATAGGAAACTGCGGTTGTTTCGTCCTCGTCGCCGGCTGATCTCGTGTTTTCTCCCTCTTTGGTGGATCAGATTATTCGGAAGCGGTCAAGGAGATCAATGATTTGTGCGCGAATTCTTCGTGGTCGTCACCTCTGCAGCCGCCTCCCCTGAGGTACAAGCAGGGCGGAGATGATAACTTCGGTGGGACGTTCAGCGACCGAGAGCGGTTTTCTTATTTCGATCATCGGAACGAAAGCGTCGAAGTCCCCTGTGGATTCTTTAAGGAATTCCCAATCGGCATGGACGGTGAGTCTTGGCCAGCAATTATGGGAAATTTTCTTTTCCTCTTTTGTTTTTCTTTTGGTTCTTTGCTCCTCTGTTTTGGTACTCTGTTCCTTCTTGAATTCTGTTGGCTCAGATGCACAAAATGAGGAAAACGGGTTCAGAAAATTCAGTGGATTCTGTTGTGCTGCGTTGTTGGTTTCTACTGCTTCTTTACATCCATTGATATCTGTCTGAATCGTTTCATTCAGAATTTCCAAATCGAAACTGAGTTACCGAATTCTGCAGCAAGAATTGAATTTTATCGGGTTTGAATTGATTCCTTCCTTTTCTTCCTCGTGGAAATTTAGATAGGGAGGCCATGGAGAAATGCGGCGGAGTGGTCGTTGCCTCCGCCATATTCAACGGCCACGATAAGATCCGTCAGCCCAGAGGGCTCGGATCCCAAACCCTCGCCAGCGTATGCTTCTTCATGTTCGTCGACAGCGCCACCACGAAAGTCCTCGAGAACCACAACTTGATCTCACCGAACTCGAGAGCAGCGCGCAGGATCGGAGCGTGGAGGATCGTGGAAGTGGCGGGCGAGCGCCTGTACGGGAACCCGGCGATGAATGGGGTGATCCCGAAACACCTGGTGCACAGGCTGTTCCCGAACTCGAAATTCAGCGTATGGATCGACGCGAAGCTGCAGATGGTGGTCGACCCGGTCCTGCTGGTCCACTCACTGCTCGTGAGGGAGGGCGCGGACATGGCGGTGTCGAAGCATCCGTACTACGTGCACACCATGGAAGAGGCGATGGCCACCGCAAGGTGGAAGAAGTGGTGGGACGTGGATTCGCTGAAGAAGCAAATGGAGACTTACTGCGAGAATGGGCTTCAACCATGGTCGCACATCAAGCTTCCATATACTTCAGGTACATTACCTCCTCCGTTTAATTCACGAAAAATCAATAATTTTAAAAATGAAAAATTCCTAATCTTGATTTTATATAATGTTTAGGAAAATGAATTGGAAATTTTTCCTAATTTTTTTTAAAGAAATTTCCAAGAAGCTTGCTCTAGAAAAGTCCAAGAGAGAGGAATATATTAAAGTCGACAACTGGAAATGGTACTTAGCCAAAAAGCGCTCTGCAAGCCACAGAACTAACTTGTTTCACGATGGGCATCAAGGGTTTGTTTCAAGAAATATTAATAACTTACAAAATATTTTGCAAAATATGATTGTTTGCATGTTTGGAAAAATTAATTAGCGGAATATATATTCACTATCAATGATAATCAATGCCTAGACATTTTCGTCGATGATGACTCGGTGTGTCTACTGTTGTTGAGGTTAACAACGCGACAATTGGGCTAACAATTTCAAAATGAAAGAAGGAAAACAAAATAATGTACTTAGAGGGTCTTGAACGTCTAGTGAGAGTTCAAGTCAAACTAAAATACCCAATTAGAAAACAAGTATGGAAGCAAGCAAGGGTTGCTAGGAGGTGTCATTAGTAATCCCTATTCATAACAAAAAAAAATTATGCACTACGCATGTAGCCAAAAACTGTCTATGTCATAAAAACAAGAAACACAAATTAATGTTATCAGAAATCCTCGATACACTCGTACGTTGAACTCAAGCCATGTTCGCCAGAGCTCATAGCTCTAGCCCGTGATCCTGGCCACCGGAGCTCGGAGCTCGTGGCCATGACCGCCACATCTAGTGTCTCGAGACAAGGGAAGGGGGTTAACGGTAGAGGTGGATAGGCGAGTTAGCCACGGCATTATTCTATAAAGAAAAGAAAAAGTTAGATTGATGTATAGCCAATGCAATTGTACAAGTAGGATTGAACAAACTTGATTTTATAAAAAAAAAAAACTTGCCACATGCATTGCTTCGGAATGAACCTCTTTGATGTGTCGTCCTCAGTTAGTTGCTGGTCTCGGTGTGTTTTAGGATTGTTATCGAACCTACCGGACCGTCACCCTCTAGACCGGTTTGAATGTCTTCACCATCTTTTCTTATTATTTTCTTCATTTGGTCAACGCTGTTGTGCTCTAGAAAAGCCTGGCTTTTGTTTGGAAGCACAAAGTGTGGGAGGTGAAGAAAAACCTTGGTGAAAAATTTCAAGGTGGATTAAAAAAAATTAGGTGAAGAAGGGATTAAGAAATAAAGGGGAAAGTATATTTATGTACAGCGGACAATTTGATCCTCAACTTTTCAATTTAGTAAATTTAGTCATAAATCTTTTGACAATTCGATGTTGCATGGCATAGGACGGTCCCACATCGGTGTTTTTTGGTCAAAATTGGTCAGAAGGATTACATTGGCAAATCGTCCAATAATTTAGATTAAATTGGCGGAATTGAAAAGTTTAGAGGTAAATCCATACAATAGATCTGGGACTTTTTAGACAATCATCCCAGAGAAGATATAAGAACGTAATCTCATCTGATTTAGTAAATTTGAAAACAACCATGTTAATTACACGTGAGCAAAATAATTTATAGTCTCCCTTTTATACACCAAATCTTAAGTAATTTTTTTATTACAAATTATTTTTACTAAGAATGAACATAAGTGTGAAATTTGGGAGTACAAGGGCATTTTTGCAAAACCAGCATATTACACAGCTTTTCTTCTCAGTTTGGGGGGGCAGGACAACAATGGCGGGACCAAGATAATTTGCTTTACACCCCAAATTTTTACCAAATTACTCTCTAGGCCAAATGTGGGGATGCTCGACGTTGTTTTGAAGTTACGTTCTATTGTGCTCTACAAGATGACATGACGTCCCTATCTTGGAATTATCTCGAATTGGAAATGTTCACACTGTTCATTTTGGAATCTACGAAATCTGAATTAGTAGATAAAGAAGTCACTCATTATACAAAAAATAATTACTTAGCTATACTATTATTTTAAAAACAAAGAGGACCTCCTACTTTGAAGGGATCGCAATCTTCATTGTTTTTCCTTGGAATGTCCTCAACTAAGTATTTTATAGATTTTTAATCAACGGGTAAATGTGTAAATTCATAATTCTACCTTGCACATATTCTTTTTTCATTCAACCTCACCAGAAAAAAAAAGGTTAAATGTATTTATCTCTTTCCAGACATTTGCAAATCATTGTACCAGTAGTGCTTCATTCATTGATTAATAAAAAGTTCATAACTTGAAGACATGAAATTCAAATTTGAGTAATGCTAAAGATACAACAATTTTTTACTAAATTTTGTTGACCAAACTGACTTGAGGGTTGGCAAGATTCTATTGAGAACCAACCATTTTAAGGATGGGTCATGCTTGCCTAAAGTTCCAATGGGAATATTGGGAAGCCACTTAATATATAAGTTTCCAAACCAAAAATAAATAAATTTGAGTAAAAAATCTAAGTACCCTTTTATTGATCAAGCAAATTATTCTTGAATAGCCAGGAATAGGCTGTGGGCAGAGAGAGAGTGTCCATGCAATAATTTGTCCTTTCGATGGTCCACCCACATGCAAGTGATTATAGATGTGGACTCTACCATTAGATAATTGGGTAGTTAAACTATCAATTAACCCATTTAATAGCCTCGTGAGTGGTTCAATAATATTTATAGGGACCCATTCGAAAATAGGCATTGGCTGTTTGTAATGTTGGTGCTCTTCTCCCTTATTCACTAATAAATATGAATGATTGCTGGTTTTTCAACTAGTATATGTGTATGTATGTGTGCGCGTCCCTGCGCGCATGCGCAGGTGAAATTGATAAGACGCCTATGATCCTTACAGTCCGAGTCCCTTTAATTCAATTTTTTTTAGTGTATTGCATATATAATTATGAGTCGACTGTTCATGTTTTTACACTCCTCATATGTTAATCACAGATGGACTCATGGAATTTTTTACTTAATGCATATCATTTTTTCTATAAAATTGACGACGCCAATAAATTGATATTGCTCTTGTTATTTTAGAATGAAAAATTACCACACCTTACTATGTTGTGGTCCAACCATGAAAGCGAGAGATAGAATAATATTGGGGTCCTATACAATTTGTCCTTTAGTAGCGTGAAGATGCCAGGAGCCCCTCAAACATCGCATTCGAGTAGGAACAATTATAAGCAAGTCATTTACATTCTTCTGCATTTAGGAGATTGAACCGTAATTATTTTGTACTCTTTGCTCCCGGAATACAAGGCTATTTCCAATTCATGAAACTCTTAACTAAAAGCTCTAGCATTTATTGCAGATGTGCCGGACAGCGCCCTGATTTTGAGGCGACACATTCCGGCCAGCAACCTCTTCTCGTGCCTCTTGTTCAACGAGCTGGACGCATTCAATCCGAGGGATCAACTGGCCTTTGCGTATGTGAGGGACCTCATGAGCCCGAAGCCGAAGCTCCACATGTTCGATGTGGAGGTGTTCGAGCAAGTCGTGCTGGAGTACAGGCACAACCTGAAGCGCGGCAGCGGGGCCACCGGGGGGCCATGGAGGACGAAGAGGGCGGGCTCTCCGGAGTCGTCGGAGAACGGCAGTTTTGGCGGCGGGTGTGAGAAGTATCTGCAGGAGATGTGGGGGTAAATCCCATAGTTGATTCTCTCCAACTGATAACGTAAGAAAACAAACGAAAGGTGATCTGCCCAACCGCATTTCGCACGCGAAAAGCTGCCAGGAGATCACAGGTTGTCAGGCACATTCATGCTGTGCTCGTGCTCTCCTCGTTCTTTCCCCATTCATTGTCGTGCTGGAAAGTCTGGGAACAGGAACGGTGATGCGCCACGTGTCACGAATTGCATGAACTCTATGTTTTCGTCTTTTGGGTTTTGCCCGGTGAAAAAGGGCAAAAAGAGGGTTCAAAGGGAGGGAGGGGAAATTTTGTGCTGTTTGATTTAGAGAGGTATGAAGAATTTATGCTGTTTGATTAGGGATAGTCAAGTTTATACAAAGATCATGTGGTTTCATAAGCATGGTTATCAAATTTGATGTAATCTTTCCCGCGATTTAATAAATAAGATTCGATTCATTTAATTGAAGTCGTCAGCCAAAAAATCAAGGAAATGCAAGTATCTTCCATCTTGATTTTCCATTATTCAAAAAGGTGGATAATAAATGAATGTCCACAAGCAATGGTCCTCTTAAAATTGGACATCACAAAAATCATTTTGCATTTGAAATAATGTAGCATACATTACTACTGTAAAAGTATTTCTCCGCAAGCAATCTTATCCAACCTTGACTTTATGGTTAGTGAACGAGCGAAAAGTTAAAATCTGGAAATTAATGGTGGATAAAATCGTATCTGTAAAGATTATATGCATGTTTAGAAAAATTAGTCAGCGAAATATATTTTCACTGTCAATGACAAATCCATGCCTAGACATTTTCGTTCTTGATGACCCTGATGTGTCTTCTGTTGTTGAGGTTAACGACACAAAAAACTGGGCTAACAATTTCGAAATGAAAGAAGGAAAACAAAATAAAGTACTTAAGAGGATCTTAAACGTCTAGCGAGAGAGTTCAAGTCAAACTAATATACCCAATTAGAAAATAAGTAGGGAAGCAATCAAGGGGTGCTAGGAGGTGTCTTTAGTAATCCCTATTCATAACAAATAAAAATTATGCACCGCGCTTGTAAGAAAACCTATCCACATCATAGGAAAAAACGAAACACAAATTAATGTTGTTAGAAATCCCTAATTCACTCCAACACTGTACTGCAAGCTTAAGCTGGAAAGTTACGGTTGATTGATCATCATGGCCGATCATAGTTGACATCAGAGCGACGAGGGTTATCAACCCGTCTCCTCCCAGCTTGAGCTCGCACCATGGTCGCGCTAGATTTGGCATCTCGCAGCCATGGCCGCACTAAATCTTAGCTCTCACCATGATTGCTGGAGCTCAAAGCTCGAGCTACTGGCCATGGCCATCGGAGCTTGGAGCTCGCGACCATGGACGCCACATACGGCATCTCATGGCGAGGGAAGGGGTTAGCGGTAGTGGCGGAGAGGCGAGTTGACTACGGCGATAGGGAGGGAAGGGGTTAGCAATTATGCAATCACGGTTAACCTAACTTGATTTTATTAAGAAAAACTTGCCACATGCATTGTTTTGGAAAGAACCTACCGGACCGTCACCCTCTAGACCGGCTTGAATGTTTTCACCATTTTTTCTTATTATTATGTTCTTCATTTGGTCAACGCTGTTGTGCTCTAGAAAAGCCTGGCTTTTGTTTGGAAGCGCGTAGTGTAGGAGGTGAAGAAAAACCTTGGTGAAAAATTTCGAGGCGGATTAAAAAAAAAAGTGAAGAAGGGATTAAGAAATATAGGGGAAAGTGTGTATTTTTATATATCGGCCAATTTAATCGTAAACTTTTTAATTTAGTCAATTTAGTCCTAAACCCTTTGACGATCTGACGTGGCTTCGGCCTTCGGATGGTCAACTTCTACATGAGCATTTTTCAGCCAAAATTGACCAGAAGGACTACATTGGCAAATCGTCCAAGGTTTAGGACTGAACTAGCCGAATTGAAAAGTTTAAGACTTAATCGTCCGCGTGCAATAGGTTTAGAACTTTTTGAACAATCATCCCACAGAAAATATAAGTACGTAATCACCTTGGTTTTAATAATTTTGGAAACAACCATGTTAATTACACGTGAGCAAAGTAAATTATAGTCTTCCTTTTATACACCAAATCTTAAGTAAAATTTTTTATTAAAAGTTATCTTTACTAAGAACGAACGTACCTATGGCTATGAAGAAGACAAATAGGTGTGAAATTAGGGAGTACAGGGGCATTTTTGCAAATTCAGCATACAGCTTTTCTTCTCAGTTTTGGGGTGAACAATAGTGACGGGACCCAGATATTTTGTTTTACACCCCAAATCTTTAACAAATTATTCTCTAGGCCAAATTTGTGGAGGCTCCACGTTGCGTTGAAGTTACGTTCTATTGTGCTCTACAAGATGGCATGATGTCCCTATCTTGGAATTATTTCAAATTGGAATTGTAGAGGATTGGAAATTCCCAAACTGTTCTTTTTACTATCTACGAAATCTGAACTAGTAGGTAAAGAAGTCGTTCATTATACAAACACTAATTACTTATCTATACTATTTTTTTTTTTAAAAGTGACCTCCTATTTTTAAGAGATTGCAATCTTTATTTTTTCTTAGAATATCCTCATTTATTTTTATTTTTTTTGGTCGAAAACAAGATCATTTCATTTCATCAAGATAAGCTTCAGCACATACAAGGTTCCAAAGGGTTGCGGGAGGGTTAAAGACCCAATTATAGGGCAAAGATTTGCACCTTTGAGTCTTAACAATCCAGTCTGCCACCTGATTTTCTTCCCTATTACAGTGGGCTAAAAGAACATTAGGTAAATGGACTAGCAGAAGTTTGCATTCGGTAATAAGTGGAGTGGCTTCCCATGGAGAAATATCTAAGCCTAAAAGGCAATTAACCAAAATCAAGTTGTCAGATTCTAGCAGGTATCTCATTTTGTCTTTTTCCCTTCGTGCATGAAGTAGCTTCAGAGTTTCAAGGCAAGCAAGGGTTTCCACATTGAGAGCTGAATTTGCTCTCACCATTTTAGCAAATCCATCCACAATCTTCCCCGAGAAATCACGGCAAATACCAGCTATGGATCCTTCTGTTGAACCTGGAGTGTAGGATCCGTCAATATTCCACTTGAGAACCCCTTTCTCCGGTGGTCGCCACGATTTAAGTGAGTGGCTATCCTTTGAGTTGGTGTTCTTCTCCGGTTTAGTCCATCGGCAAATATTCTGGTGCATGGCCATGGCAGAACTCACCAGGTGTTGCGGATTTGGGGATTGACTTCGAAAAATGAAGTTGTTCCTCCATTTCCATATATACCAGAGAACCACCGCTAGCAAATCAAAGGAGATTGAGGTACTTTTGAAATTTAGTAGCCACTCTTCAATCCTCGTAAGTCCTTGACTAGAGATTTGAATATGCAGGGCCGGGTTCGACCACACCTGATTTGTCCATGGGCAGAGTAGGAATAAGTGCTCGGTTGTCTCAACCTGTTGGTTACACAGACTGCATGTAGGTTCTTGAACAATACTCCTTTTAAATAAATTTTCCTTGGTAGGCAAAGCATTTTGGCACAGTCCCCACAGGAAAAATTTGATTTTTGGAATGGTTCTTGCCTGCCAGATCCTTGTCCATAGTTTTCGAGGGGTCTGATACGAGGTGGACGCTGAAGTTGCGATCTGTTTCTCGGTTTCTCCCCTTAGTTTGTTGTACCCACTCTTAACTGTATAGGACCCTGATCTAGTGTTGTTCCAAACCAACTTATCCTCCGTTAGTTGAGATCGCAGCGGAATTGAGAGGATTTCATTGGAGGTTTGTTCATCAAATAGAGCATGTAGGGTCTGTGTATTCCACGTTGAATCTTGCTTTTGTATCAGATCAGCTACCTTCTCTGGCTCTTCTCTGTTTGGTGGTCCCCCTATAATTCCTCTGGGTAGCCATTTATCCTCTCTAATTCTAATCTTTTCCCCATTTCCAACTGACCACATAATAGAGGGAAGAATAGCATCTCTGCCCATTAGGAGGCTTTGCCACCCCCAAGATGGTCGTGTCCCCTTACCAGCATGTCTGAAATCACAATGAGGGAAGTAGAGTCCTTTAAGTACCTGACTCCACAAAGATGTTGGGTTCTGAGTCATTCTCCAGGCTTGTTTTCTCAACATAGCCTTATTAAAGGTGATGAGGTCTCTAAAGCCCAATCCTCCATTATCCTTTCTAAGTTTTAGCACATTCCAGTTTCTCTAATGCAATCCTGATTTGCTTGCCCCATTTCTCCACCAAAAAGCAGCAATTTTCTGTTCAATAGCACGACAAATGGAGATAGGAACTTTAAAGATGGACATAGCGTACTGTGGGAGAGCTTGAACCACTGCTTTAATGAGGATTTCTTTCCCTGCTTTAGATATCAACTTTTCTTTCCAGCCTTCTAGCTTCATATTGACTCTCGCCATAATCCACGCAAACATTTGCTTCTTTGACTCACCCCAGTCAGAAGGAATTCCCAAATACTTGCCAGTTTTCTCTATAATTGGCACTCGCATCTCCGCAATCATATTCTGTCTCAATCTTTGTGGGCAATCTTTACTAGCAAACAATCCAGATTTATTCAAATTAATAGCTTGACCCGAGGCATAGCAGTATTGATTCAAGATTGCAGCTACACTTTGGCACTCATTAATTGTTCCATCCGGGAAGAAGATTGAGTCATCCGCAAAGAGTAAGTGGGTCAAAGTTGGGCATGATCTATTTAATTGTATTCCTTTGATAATCCCATTCTCCAGTGCATTTTTCATCATAAAGGATAATACATTCACCACAATGATAAATAAATATGGAGAAAGTGGGTCACCTTGGCGAAGACCTCTTGAGGGATGAAAATAGGGCAATGGCTCTCCGTTCAACTTTACACTATAAGACACAGTCGTGATGCATTGCATAACCCATCTAACCCATTGAGCACTGAATCCCATTCTTAGCAAGCAAGCTTCCATAAAATCCCATTCGACTCTGTCAAATGCCTTTTTCATATCAAGTTTAAGGACAACCTAGAACTTCTTCTTTCTCTTTCTAATTCTGAGTTGATGTAGCACTTCCTGGACAATTAAAATGTTATCTTGCATCTGTCTGCCACTTACAAATGCACTCTGCTCTTTCGAGATGAAGTTTGGCATCCATGGTTTCAGTCTATTCGCCAAGACTTTTGAGAAGATTTTATAAGCAAAGTTACATAAGCTAATGGGGCGGTATTGTTCCAGCTTCTCTAGGTTAAGGATCTTTGGGATAAGTGATATGTGCGTTCTATTTAGCTCTGGGTTGAGAATCCCTCAGTTTAGAAAGCTTTGTACTTCTTTGAACACCCCATGTTTTAGATCTTCCCAGTGATGATGGTAGAATTTCCCATGTAGTCCATCATGCCCTGGTGCTTTAGTGGCACCTAGTTGATGAGCAGCTTCTGTAACTTCTTTCATTGTCAATTC